GGAGTTGTCTTACCACCTCTGAGAGCCCAATTAATTGTTTATGCTCTCTGTATGTGTGTATATATACCCCCTAAATTTATTTCCTTTTCTATATACACCCAAAGAAGTGGGTTGTAGTCCACGAAAGCTTATGCTCTAATAAATTTGTTAGTCTCTAAGGTGCCACAAGTACTCCTGTTCATCATCTTTATTGTAACACTTCTCTTCCTCATTCCAATTCCCCTCCCTTTTTGTCCCTCACTGCTCTTTCACAGTACCTATTCACAGATGAGCTGTTGGGTAGGGCTGGGTCTTTACTGGTTTCTTTGAAGCCGCTAGCATACTTTTGGGCCCTCAGGAAATTTTATTAGAGAATATTTGAAAAATAAACAATACAGAAAATTTGAGGCATCAGTTATTGGTCATTGGGGGTAACATACAGAGTATAGGGGGGATGTTAGTGTTTTTGGGGTTGGGCAGCACACATAATATATACAGACTGCAATGTCCCCAATGGGGGGGAGGGTGGGTAACCGGTGGGCGGGATCAGGAAACAGCCGATAAGCGGTGAGGGTCTATCACCCCTACAGAAAGTAGAGACAGTCATGGGTAGAAGTAAGTGGGCTGGGTAATGGGGGATGGGGTGACCCTCACGTGGTGGGATTCAGTTAGGTTCGGTGGGTTCAGGGCTCAGGGGATAAAGTCCAGCGGGGGGGGGGTTATAGGTCTCTTCCCCCTTGTGGGTGCATGAGGTCTCTCCGGCTCACTCTCGGTATTGGCGGTGGCCGGTGATGTGCTCTGTGTAGAGGCTCCGGGACCAACGAATAATGTGCCATTTACCTAGATTCTTTGCATTTAGTTTTCCTTTTAATTCATTTTTTTAATGTCTTGTCAAACAGTGCAACTGTCTGAGAGATTGCACAAATCTCTCATTCAAGAACATGCACATGCATGTATTTGGAGGAGTGTAACCAGATATATGCTTAATGACATCAAAGTAGTATGTGGGTGCAGTATGTTACTTTCAAATGCAGCTGTTTCTAAACCAGACTTCAAGAGAACTTTCACGGAACCTATACCATGACCCGCTGGCATGATTATTTATGCCCGTGTAGAGTCCTGGTGACTTCAGTGGAGCTCTATGTCATGGGCTCTCAACCTTTCCAAACTACTGTACCCATTTCAGGAGTCTGATTTGTCTTACATACCCCCAGGTTTCACCTCACTTAAAAACAACTTGCTTACAAAATCAGACATAAAAATACAGAAGTGTCACAGCACACTATTACTGACAAAGTGCTTGCTTTCTCATTTTTACCATATCGTTGTAAAATAAATCAATTGGAATATAAATATTGTACTTACATTTGTGTATAGTATATAGAGCAGTATCAACAAGTCATTGTATGAAATTTTAGTTTGTACTGATTTCTCTAGTGCTTTTTATGTAGCCTGTTGTAAAATTAGGCAAATATCTAGATGAGTTGATGTACCCCTGGAAGCCCTCTGCATACCCCGAGAGTTGTGCATACCCTGAGTTGAAAACCACTCCTCTATGTGAACGTAAGGGGCCATGCTAAGCTTAGAATACAGGTGTCATCTCTCCCTAAGGTATAGAATTGCCAACACTATGTTATGAGTTGTAATAAATGGACAGATTGTCTGGATCCAGGTCTGTGCTCAGAAGGAGCCCAGAAGCTTGTAATGTAAAGGTTCAGCAAGGGGGCCAATACAAAATGTGGCAGCAGCTTGTGGGAGACAGGCAGGAGGTAGAAGGCTCCT